ATTCTATTTTCTTCTGCATTCTTCATGGTTTCACCTATTAAGTTCAGGTCCATTTTAACTTAATTTTTTGTGTATATAATTTAGGAATCAAAGTCCCTTTTTTGTACAGATAGTAATTTATGCAGCAGTACATATTAAAAAGATTATCCTTTCTCCTATTAAGTTGCCATGAAAGCTATACTGGACATCGATTGGCAGGACCTAACTCTATTTCTAGACTCTTTGTGTTCTGTTCCATTTTGATGACAACACTTTGGTCTTGTCTCTCTTTATAACATAGCTATAGTGTAAGTCTTGAAATCAGATAGTTTAGCCAGGCATGGTGGTGCATGCCTGTACTCCCAGGAGCTCTGGAGACTGAGGCAGGAGAATCATGAATTTAAAGCCAGTCTCAGCAAAAGCAAGGTGCTAAGCAACTTGTGAGTCCATGTCTCTAAATAAAATAGAAAATAGGGCTGGAGATGTGGCTCATTGGTCAAGTGCCCTTGGTCAAGTGCCCCTGAGTTCAATTACTGGTACCCCTCCCCCCGAAAAACAATCAGATAGTTTAACTTCTTCATGGACTTCTTTTTAAAATCACTTATGCTATTCAACATTATTTTCATAGCTATATAAATTTTATTATTAGGTCAATAATTTCTGCAGAGGAAATATAAGTGGGAGGAGAGAAAAGAAGGGGAAGGGGAGAGAGGGAGTAAAAGAGGAGTTGGAAGGGAAAATCCTACTCAATATATTTTAGAAGACTGGCCCTTTAAACAATAGTGAACCTTCAAAATTCACTAGATAAACAGATTATTGAGATCTTCTCTTTAAGTTTCTTTTATCTATATTTTGTTGGTTTTTAGTTTAGAGTCATCCAATATTTCTCTTTACATTTACGTCTCATTGTGGTTTTTGGTGGTTTAATTGTTGATACTTTTGGATTTAAAAAAATAAAGTTTAATATACATATGGTAAAGTTTAGGCTTTTTATTTCATATTGCAATGAGTTTTGACAAACATACATAGTCATATAACCACCATCACCATCAAGATATAGAATAGTTTCATCACTCCAAAACATTCCCCTTAGTGCTCATCCTTTCTCCCCAGCCTAATAGTTAGTTTTTGTAAAATATCATATTAGCAGAATAATGCTGTATATGGGATTTAGAGTCTAGGTTCAGAGTCTGGCTTCTTTCACCTAGCATGAAGATTATTAAAACTTTAACAATTAATCTGTAGCTTTTTTCTTTTTATTTTGAGCAGTATTCCATTGTATAA